GGGAGAGAACTGATAGATATGTTCCCCCTTTTCACTTTTGTTCTAAACGACATGATTTTTAAAAATCAAATTTTCCACACTTTTCATTTTAATTTTATTGGATATTATGGAGGTATACATTTTTCCCGGTGAGCCTTTGAAAAGTTCATGGAAAATGGAATTTTGAAAGAAGGGGCTTTTCCATGAACTTTTGTAGTCATCTTGTATTTGAAGTCTTGCAGTACCTTTAGAATGTTTTTCACCACAAAATGATTGTAGTGCAAAAACATTTTTAATCCATGTGTTTAGTCTTCAGAAGTTTGTGATGGTTACAGGTTTGTGCATAGCCGACCTTGACTGACTGAAGAAGCATTTGGCACTGGTGTGAGGCTATACCAAGTGTCAACGAGTTCCTGGGAAATTCCATGTTCTTTCAGCTCCATTTTCCACAGCTTTTTGAGGCACCCTCATAGGCACAGTCTCTCTATAAAGGGTACTTCATGAACAACTCTTGCCAGGACTTTTCCCCCTTGATGTATACATTTGTTTAAAATGTCTGAGTATGTTATTTCCTGTTTTGCTTGAACTCTGTGGTACAAATCTCACGCTATTTTGTTTCTACCTGTTGAAGTGTAGTCTTCCTCTCCATCAGTAAGTGCTCTTCACTTTCAGCAAAGTAGACCATGTCAACCGCATATAATAGGTTGTTCATGAGTTATCTTCCAATTCTAAGGCTGCGACGTCCTTTTGACAGCCCCAAATCTGTTTATTTGCACAGTCTATAGATTGACTATGTATGGTGAAAGGATATACCGTAAGGCACACTTTTCTGATTTCAAGCTGTGCAATATCTAACCTCTTGTATTTGAATGACCACCTCTTGGTCTATGTACAGGTTCTGCATGAACATGATTAAGTATGCCGGGATCCCTCTTCATCATGTTATCCAAAATTAGAATCAATCTACACAGTCAAATGCCTTTGTCTAGTTCAGTATTTCCCAAAGTGGGTGATATTGCCTCCCAGGGGGTTCTGGAATATGGCAAGGGGCGGGGGGTGGGGGGTGAGGGTGGAAAAGGGAGGGGCAAAATCAGATACTTTCCTGAATTACAGGCAATAATGCAAACATATTTAATTGCCAGGGGAGTGCTGAGTAATTTTTTTTCCCTGCAAATGGTGCAGTAGGCCCAATAAGTTCGTGAACCAATTTTCTAAACACAAGAAATAATTTTGGTACTATCTGCTATGTTTTTAGCCAAGAGACACCAGATATCAGCAATGATATCCTATGTTCCACATCCTCTTCTGAATTCAGCTCGAATTCATGGCGGTTCTCTATCAATGTTCTGCTGCAACCATTTTGAATTATCTTCAGCAAAATTGTGCTCTTGTGTAACATTAATGGTATTGTTTGGTAATTTCTGCATTTTGTTGGATCACCCTTCTATAAAATGGATATGAGTATGGATGTCTTCCAGTTGGCTGGGCAAATAGCTATCGTCAACATTTGTTGGCATTGATGGAGTGCGTGCTCCCTGGGTTGCATTCATTTGTTGCAGTATCAGGATTCATATTGCATCAACTGCTGAGCCTTACCTTTTGCCAATGCATTCCATTCAACTTGAATTTCTATCAGACACATCAAACACTGATCATATACTATCTCCTGAAATGGTTAAGTGTTGACCACTATATTTGTAGTGACTTTGTATTCCATCTTCTTTTAATGTTTCTTGCATAATTCAATTTTTTGCCCATGAAACTAAAATTACCACCTGAGTCTCGATTTGTTTTCTTCGGTTCAGCTTGAGAAATGCCATTTTTCTTTTGACCCCAGATCTTTTCACATTTCACCAGAGCAGGGGTTCTCCACCTTCCTAACGCCAAGGCCCTTTCAGACCGTTCCTCAGGTGTGGTGACCCCCAACCTTAACATTATTTTCGTTGCTATTTCATCACTGTCATTTTGCTACTGTTATGATTCGGGTGACCCTGATGAAAGGACCGTCTGACCCCCAAAGGGGTGGTGACCTACAGACTGAGAACCGCTGCACTAGAATATTTTGTCTTCTTGACTCATCGTTTGAATTCTTTGGTTCATCTCTTTATCTTCTACATTCACTTTAGCTACTCTACATTTAATAGAAAGCTTTAGGCTCTTCAGACATCCATTCTGGTCTTTCTTTAACTGATGTCTTGCTTTCTTTGTGTATGACCTCCTTGATGTCATTCAACAACTGGCTGGTCTTTGGTTATAACCTACTAATAAGTTTAAGTGTAATAAGCTATGCTGTACTTTTTTGGGTTATTATTATTTAACTAGCATATCAATTTCAAATAGAATAGCAGTCACTTTGATTCCAAGGAAAACCAACTGAGTTGCTATAATGATATGTGTAGAGACACTCCAAACTTGATGCTCATACAAACATTTCTTTCCCCTTAGTTTAGCGATTGGAAGCATTTCTGGTCATGCTAAGGTCCATCCAGATCTCTGCGTCATTTGGGTGGATGCTCACACTGATATCAACACTCCACAGACAACCACAAGTGGGAACTTGCATGGACAACCTGTGTCCTTTCTCCTGAAAGAACTAAAGGGAAAGGTAAAAAGGCTGGCCGACATTGTGTTTCCTCAGAGTAACCTTTAGCAGAAGTTCAGGTGGTGGAAGGGAATGAATAATGCTATGGCATTCTTATTCTTGGTGCAACCTCAAGCCATTTCCTCCTCAATCAGCAAGTATAGGATTAGCTGGTGGAACTGGGTAAAGCTCTGTCTTGTACCTGACTTGTCAGCCTGCAAACTGACATTGCACACATCTTCCCTCTGGGCCTCAGCATCACCCTTTTAGGTACACAGGGGGCCGTGGAGTCAGCGCCAAGTCACGGTGATCCCATGTGTGGCACAGGAGAAGTGTGCTACATTGTCAGTGGGCAGTTATTTTGGGAAATAGCATGTTATTTCTTCTGAGTTGCCTCTGGGTGAACTGGAACCAAGCACATGAACTATTTGTACCCTGCAGGCACTCTAGTGATTACATTTTTTTATAAACAAATTATCATCTCAGAGTTTAAAGCGCCATGCTGAAATCCCAAGCATATATCAGGGGAAGGTCCGGGAGCAGGACTCCTAACTCCCACTTCTTTGCATTATGCCACACAGCCTCCTCTTATTACAAATTTATTGATCACACATTAGATTTTTTTAAAATGGGTTTTATAATTGCAGATGTATAATTATTTGCATTAACATTTTACGATAGACATACCAAAATGATGGGGGGGAAGATCTCCTTGTTCCCTACATATCTCTGTTCTAAAGCATGTAAGATCAAATTCCAGATCAAAACAGTATCATTTGAAACTTTTATTGTTATGTGTGATGGCTGCTGACTATTAGTCCCTATAATGAGAATTCAAATTTCATGTTATTCATGCATAATATTTTCTGCACTGGTGAATCAGTATGGATTTATAAAGTTGGAGAAAGTCTAACAATGAGAACGAGCAAGCTCAGCTTCAGGACTATGCAGACACATTATTATGGGAGAGACAGCCCAAGTCTGTCTGGCCAAAAACTTCCCTCAAGTCACCCTGACCATCCTGTGGATGAAGTCCATTACTGAGGAAGAGAAGTAAGGAAGTTGCTTATCACAGTAGTGGAAGCACACTGATTTCTCATAGAAGAGTCTGGGTTAGCAAGGCTCAGTGGGGCTCAGAGCAGGCAAACCCTAACAAATGGTTCAGGTAACATTGGGGCCCAAGGGTGAGGCTGTGGCAGGTGAAGGCAATCAAAGGTTTCCTGAGCTGGACAGGTGTGGGTGGGGGGCAGGCTTCTCCTTAATTTTGTGATTTTTTCAATCGCAACAATTTTCTTTAAATTCAAGGTATATGTAAAGTCTTATATCCTAAATATAAGATATATGCAATGCAACCTGCTTGCCTACTTTTCAATGAAAGATTTACTCCTGTTGTGGCTGGCTGCTGTCAAATCCCAGTGACCCCCTGTGGGTGGAAGCGAGCTGCTCCAAGAAGGTTGTCCAGGCTGCAGATTGCTGTCTTCTGAGGAGCCTTCAGATGTATTTGCATCACCAACCTTTTGGCTGGTAGTCAAGTACTTCACCAACTGTGCCTATCAGGACTCCCAAAGACTATGAGTCCCCAAACCCCCAAAAACAAACTCACTGCCATATATAACTAAATGGAAACATTGCACTTTTAGATCCCTGACGTGCCAGGATTCTCTTGGGTGACTCCCTGTATCTCTGCTAAAGACATTGTATACATTGGCCTGAGAGATGTGGACCCTGGTGAACAGTGAGTTCATTTCTTCATGTGTCTTTCTTGAATCCTTTTACGTGTGAGGTATGCTTTACTGCCCAAACCTACAAGAACTGCTCATGCTCTCCCTCTAAGACACAATTCACAAACTTCAATACTTCATATATTTACCATAGTGTCCTTTTCCTTAAAAGCCACAGGATCAAAAGATTTTGATTGGGGAGTGGGGTTGGGGTAGGACATTAGGGAATTATTGATGAAGGAGTTTCTGTTTGGGGTGACAAACACTTTTACAAATGAATAGTAGTAACAGTAGCACACATGAGGAATATAATAATGATCCTACTTTACACTCTTAAAAATGATCAAAATGGCCTATTACTTAACAGCCAAATCAAAACATTGGCAAAGGATTTGAATAGCCATCTTTCCAAAGAAGACAGATGAATGAGCAATGAGCTCATGAACTGATGTGTACCATCATTGGTAACTGAACAAACCAACCCCCAAATTCCTGCTATGGAGTCAATTCTGACTCAGAGTAACCGCGTGGACAGAGCAGAATTGTCCCTGTGGGTTTTCGAAGCGGTTATATCTTTACAGGAGCCAAAAGCCTTGCTCCCATGGAGTGGCTAGTAGGTTCAAACTGTTGATCTGATGGTTGTAGCCCACTGTGTAACTCACGATACCACTTTGGTTCCCCACAGATATACTACTTCCCTTCCATTAGGATTGCTATAATTAGAAAAAGGGGAAAATCATAAATGCTTGTGAGGATGCGGATAAATTGGAACTGCATGCATTATTAGTGGGATTGTACAATGGTACAACCCCTATGGGAAAAAGTTTGGCAGTTCCTTAAAAAGTCAGATAAGAGTTACTGTATGACCCAAAAGAAATGAAAGCAGAAACACGCAAAGCAAGTTGCAGACCCATGCTCACTGCAGTAATATTTGCAACAGCTGGAATGTAGAAACAACTAACTAAATGCCTATCGAAGGATGAATGGATTAAAAAAATGTGGTATAGACATATAATGGAATATTACTGTCATAAAAAGAAATTATATCTTCATACATACTACAGTACAGATGAACCTTACAAATATTATGCTCAGTAAAATAAGTCAGTCACCAACAGAAAAGTGGGTGAAGGG